GTTATAAAGGTTTTTTGTCGAACACTATCGGGGGCTAACAGAACTTTGATCAGAACTCATGGAACTCTCAATATATAAAAAAAAATTTTTTTTTGAAAATTTAATGTCTTGTAGTTCAGTAGTTTTTGGGTTTTGAAAAAATTGTTATTAAGGTTTTTTGTCGAACACTATCGGGGGCTAACAGAACTCTGATCAGAACTCATGGAACTCTCAATATACAAAAGATCAATTTTTTTTTGAAAATTCAAAGTCTTGTAGTTTAGTAGTTTTTGGGTTTTGAAAAAATTGTTATAAAGGTTTTTTGTCCAATACTATCGGGGGCTAACAGAACTCTGATCAGTACTTGTGGAACTCTTAATTTATGATAAAAAATTTTTTTTGTAATTTTCAAACTTTTGTAGTTCAGTAGTTTTTCGGTTTTGAAAAAATTGTTATCAATGTTTTTTATCTATCTCGATGGGGGGCTAATAGAACTCTAATCAGAACTCTTTTTTCGTAAAATTTTAATTTTTTTGAAAAATTCTGGAATTTTAAATTATTTATTTATGATTTTGGATTATGAGAACTATCGAAATAAACTGTAGGGAACTCTAGAACTCTCTTATAGCTACTCAGAACTCTAATAATAAATCCCTTTTTTCAATAGTGGGGGGCTGCGTGAAGTTAGCCCCCCATTATGAAAAAACCTATTTTTTACCATTTAATCGCCGGAACTATTTCTAAAAACTATCAGGAACTCCAGAACTATTGTAGAGGAAGTCAGAACTCTAAAAAAAATTTAATTTTTTTGAAAGAGGGGGGCTAACTTCACATACATCGTGGGTATAACATGATGTGAAAGTTAGACGAGAGATGTACGTATATGAGTTTGATGATTTGGTTATGAAGCAGATTCTCCCTTATTAGTTGGACTTGCCGGGAATAATTTATAGTTCCTCTGCTCTGAGTCAGTTTTGTTTACATCCTGCTGGGACTTTAAACCACAAGTCACTCAGTATATTAGTTCAAAATAAGCTTCAGAAAAAGAAAAACTTTTTCCTCGACTTTTTCTAACTAAGTGCATTTTTCCTCACACAAAATAATATCTAATTTTTCTCCTTTTTTATTCCTTAAAATTAATAAATCCTTGAAAGTAAAAATAATCCCTTAAAACACCTAAAATCATGGATAAAAATTGTCATTTTTTTCTAAGTTAGAAAAGTTTTTAGTTATGTTGATGAAAAAAGTTTCCACGTTCTGCAAACTTTGGAATTTTTTTTTTTTTGAAACTTAAAAATCATTTTTTATTATTTCTCATTTTTTAAACTTAAAAATTTTGTTACATAAGGTAACAAATATAAATAACTTTTCTAAGAATATAAAACCCAAATTTTTTTGGTCAGACTTGTATTAATTTCATAATAAATTTCACTAAGTTGACAGTAAATTTTAATAATTTTGTTTAGAATTTACTTTCAATATTTGATATTGAATACTTTTAAACTAACGATTTTTGATAGCAAATTCTTTTAACTATTAGTTATATTTTTAACGAAATCAAATTTAGAAACTCAGCTCAGCGGACATGAAATGATAAATTAAAAGCAATCGAAAGATAAAATTTCCAATTTATCTGCGTGGCTATACGATAAACCCGTCGAAGAAGACTGATACGAAAGCGAAGTAGGAAATATTTTTGAAATATACTCTCCGCATGCGTTGAGAATATAAAAATAATTTCTACTTTTTTCTTCGAGCTGTAATAGAGAAAATTTAAAAATTTCAAAGAATATAAAATTTTATTATTGTCGTTGAAGAAGAAGTAGAAGAAGAAGAAGAGACATTCCATTTTAGACAAGAAAATGAATGAGACGTTCGAGTTTTTTCTTTTTTTTATAATGAAAAGTCGTTTTTAATGTAACAATTCTTTAAAGGGAAGAAGAAAATGTTACGAGTACCCCTTTGACCTGCTCTATTGGAGAAATTCCTTGGAATTTTTCTTTTTCCTTTGCCATTGTGTGTGTGTCTTCCGGTTGTAAGTAACGATCAGCCAGCCAAAATGTATGTGTATATATGGCTATCTAGGAAAGTAATTTGCATTCAGATTAAGTTTGTGCTTTTACTATGGAACGTGCCACTCCATGTAACTAACGTATTCTCGTGGCAGTTTCGAGTTGATCATGTAGAAATATTCAACAGGCCTTGACTCATCGTATTTTTAGACAATGTTCTCAACATTATTTCATATATATTTGCTGTGCGTTATGACGTCTTCGTCGCTAATATTTTGTAAACGTAACAATTTTTTTCGATTTCTAAATTATTTATAACATTTTTTCTAAGAATATCAAATTGAGACAAAAAACGTACCAAAATTGTTGCATTGCATAAACCAGGAATTTTATACCAAACCGGGAATTTTTTTACGAAATTAAAAAAAGTTTTATTATTTTAATTTGTTTTTCAAAAATCGCTTTTTATTTCAATTTTTGTAGATATTTATACTATTCTATAAATTTCAATTAGTTAAAAATAATTAATTTGATAGTAAAAAATCAGTCACTGATTCAAATATAATTAGTAAATAAATTAAAAAAAAATTATTGAATTAATAGAAATTTTGTGAAATTCAACTGAAAATAATTGAATTTGTTAAAGAATTTCATTAAAAACTTTTTAACAAATCGAATTTTCAAAGTATTTTAATTTAATAAATGATAAATAATTGAATTTTGTAAACAGTCACATTCTAGTATTCATGTTTCTTAGTGCGAAGATTAATAATTAAAATTTTTATTAGTTAATTTAAAAAAAGATACTGAAATTTTTTTAATAAAATTGAATTTTCGCAAAGTTTTTTTTTAAAATTCTGAAAAATAAGATTTTTGGAATTTTTCAATTCTATTGTTTTAAGATAATTGAATTTTTATAAATAAAGAATTAAAAATTTTTGAAATAATTGAAATTTCTTTACATTCTATTAAAAATAATTAACTTCTTTTAAAGAATTTTATTTAAATTTTTCGAAAATAATCAAGGAAAGTTAGTCACCGTAATTATAATTTTATTTTTTAAAATTTATTTTCTACGTATGCAATTATTTTCATAAATAATAAAACTCATAGATAAATTTCAATTATTTTTAATACAATTTTAATCGAATTCCTCGAAAAATGTAATTATTCTTAAAAATTTTATTAAAATTCGTCGAAAGAATTCAATTATTTCTAGAAACTGTAGAAAAAATTCTTCTCAAGAATTCAATTATTTCGATAAATTGTAAAATTATTATTATTTTCAAGAGTAATAAAATTATTCTTTAAAGTTCAATTATGTTCAAAAATTTTTGTTTAAATTTCAATTATTTTTATAAATAATAAATTTTTTTTTCTAAAGTCAATTATTTTCTAAAATTTTAATAAAATTTTTGGCAAATATTCAATTATTTTCAAAAATTTTTCTCAATCAATGATTTTCAAGATCTACAATTTAAAAAAGTTTTCTAAAAGAATTCAATTATTTACAAAAAAATTTTAATAAAATTCTACGAAAACATTCAATTTCTTTCATAAAATAAAATTTTTTATTTGGATTTAGTTATTTTCATAAATTATCGCAAAAATTCAATTATTTTTAAAAATAATGAAATTTCTGGCAGAAATTGAATTACATATGTTTAAAATTTTTTTTAAAAATTCTGGTCCAAATTTGAATTATCTTTATAAATAATAAAATTTTTCTCCGAAATTCAATTATTTTCATAAATAATAAAATTTTTTACGTTGATTCAATTATTTTTATAAACAAAGCTCATTGCGAAATTTCAATTACTTTTAATACTAATTTAATCAAATTCCTCGAAAAATTTAATTTTCTTAAAACTTTTATTAAAATTCGTCGAAAGAATTGAATTATTTCCAGAAACTGTAAAGAAATTCTTCTCAAGAATTCAATTATTTCCATAAATAGCAAAATTCTTGTGAATATTATTTAAAGAAAATATTCTTCACAGGAATTTCATTATATTTATAAATTTTCATAAAATTTATTCTAAAAAACAATTCAATTATTTTCAAAAGTAATAAAATTCATGGAAGAAATTCAATTATGTTTGAAAATTTTTTTAAATTCTCCTCAAATTTTTTTTTTTTTTTTTTTGAAAATAATTAAATTGTTCTCTAAAATTTAATTATTTTCAAAAATTTTAATAAAATTTTACGCGAACATTTAATTATTTTCATAAATAATAAAAGATTCTTTTGAAGGATTCAATAAATTTTATAAATAGTAAAATTCTTTGCAGTAATTCAATTATGTTTAAAAACTTATTTTTAAATTCTCCTGAAAATTTCAATTATCTTTATAAATAATTAAATTGTTCTCCACAATTCAATTATTTTCAAAACTTTTAGTTTAGTTTACTTTATTTACGGTATGATACACCTTTTTTAATAAAATTCTGAGCAAATATTTAATTATTTTCATAAATAATAACATTCCTTGGAAGGATTCAATATTACTTTTATAAATATTAAAATTCTTTGCAGAAATTCAATTATTAATAATTACATTTTAATAAAATTGAATTAATCAAATTTTGCATTATAATTATGAACAGATAAGATTATTTTTAAAAAATTGAAAAATTTTTTTGTTTAATTCAATTATTTTCAAAATTTTTAATTAAAATTATTAAAAAAAACATTATTTTCAAAAAATTAATAGAAACTCGTCAAAAAAATTTAAATAATCATAAAAACTCTAATAAAAATTTTGGAAACCATTTGTAGATTTATTTATGTTCGAAATCAAATAAATTTAAAGATGAGAAAAAAAATCTGGGAAAAATTCGAAAAAGCCGGAAATTTTGTTGAACGAAAATAGTAGACACCCTGTTAGAAAAACTGTGTTTTAATTAATTATTTATTTTATTATTACGAATTTTTATATTATATTATAAATTATTATTATTATAAATTATTATATTATATTACTATGAATTGTTTAATTATTTGTTTCAGAATTCGGAAGTCATGAGAGGCGGATCGTCAAACAAGTGGTGTAGTTAAGGTCAGTTCTACAATTTTCTTTTTTCTTCACACGTATTTTTATATAGTAGAAATTATGGAGACTTTTGACTGGCGATCGATTGAAAAGTTATTCCAAATCCATATTTTCGCATTTTTAAATCAATGCGCAATTTATAACATTGTCTGACAAAAATGGAATTTTCTTTTTGCCCCACAAATAGTTTTGGTCACTAACTTTCAATAGATATTTTTTTATGCTGATCACGAATCTGCCAATACAAATTTTCTAGTACATCAAGTTTTTGAGAAAAGAATAAAATTAATTCATACGTCTCCTTTTGCATATCAAATATCACGTATACGTCATATTGGATCCTTAATTTTGTTGTTTCAAAAAATTGAATTCTAATTCCAATTTTTATTTAGAGGCGGAGAATTTTGAGTCTTAAAAATATTATAACCAGTTCTTTGGCGTTGAAAAATGTTTTTTTTTTTTTGCAAAACCTAAAAGAATCAAAGAATTATTCCAAAGGTTTATGGTTAAAATCCCTGAAAAATAACTTACCTTCCTAGATGAATAAAATATGTGAAATTATTGGCATTTTCATCTCTAAAAACCACAAATAAAATATAAATAGTTAAATAAAATGTTAAGTGGTTCAAAAATGAACCGTAATTAGGAATTATTTTTTACAGTCTATAAATGAAAGAAGATCATAAACTAATTAGAAATTGCCTTTCGATTGAAAAATAAACAAAAATATAGATTTTAGATTAACTTCTGAGTTCTGATTTGACTGTCTATCCAATTAATTGGAAGAGAAAGCTGAAATAAAGAAGTTTCTTTTTATAACTCTTAATTAAAATTAATTTCACCGCAACATTACATTTTTCGAATGACTCTCCATTAAGATTTCTATTCTTTGAATTGGAAAAAAGAGCATGATGCAGATCTCAGGGAATAGAAGATTGAAAATCACACAGTAACCCAGTGACACATGGGAAAGAATTTCATTGTTTGTTTCTTTTTTGTTTTGTTTTGTGCCGGCGTTAATGAGGGGAAATAAAATTTTATGTTGTCAAATTGAGATGACTTTGTTATGATGTTAATTGTAAACTGAAAATTTCCCATGTGTCACTTGAGTTTTCTTTTTCTCTTCTCTTTTTTTTTTTGATGAGATTCAATAAATCAACTTTTAGCTTCGCTTTTAGCCATTTCGCATCTTTTCTTGTTATTCACGGGGTAATTAGACTTTTTAACTAAGTCTCTTTGATTAACGGGTTTAAACATTAACGAGAGTAGCATCACGCCACTGATGTGTTTTTTTTACCAACTTCCTAGTTCGCATTATTATTCCCTCTCTCTCTTATATATGTAACGCTCGACATTCAGTGCCGTTTTATTTCACAATCTCACGCTGCATTGTTTCCTGATATTGAAAATTACCTCAGTTTTATGGAAATATCCATTTTTTTCCTTCCTAATTACAATTAAGTTTATATCTGAATTAGTTGACCGTTAACGTAATTGTGTACACGACCTTTTTCCTTGTTAAATAACAGAATTTTTTTTAATCTCAAAATACACGGTGATGATAATTTAGTTTCCATGTCCCTGAAGTTAGCGTGTCGACTATTAGCGACGAGAATGGTTATTTGGAATTTTTAGAGATAAAAATGGAGTTAATTTCACTTTTTTCATTCAATTTAGAAATTAAAAAACCACTTTTTAGCATAAAAACCTTTGAAACAATTGTTTTATTTCTATCGATTTCGTGAAAAAGAAATTGTTTTTGATGCTCAGCGTCGACGCTACATTCAGGGACTTTCCAGTGTTTCCACTTGATTTGGAAAATAAGGGAAATTTATTTATTTCTTCTTCAAATTCCATTTTTATTCCAATTTTGCGCAAATATAAAAAATAATTAAGTTTCTAAATGTAAAATTTTATTCGGTTGGATGATACCAATTTACATTTATTTAGTTTCGATTTTATTTTGTTCAAATTTTCTTTACTGATTTTAATATTGTTCGGATTCTGATTTATTTCTTTTATCACATTTCAATTGTTTTTAATGTTAATTCAATTCTGTTTCGATTCTGATTCAGTTTATTTAAATTCTGTTCCACATATTCTGGATATTAATTCAGTGTTGTTTCTGATTCAGTTTAACAGTTTTATTTTCATTGAGTTTTGTTATGATTCTGATTTAGCATTGTTTTGATTCTACCTAATTCTACTTTTTTATTTTTCTTCAGTTTTGTTTTGATTCTTATATTTAGCTCTATTTTGATTCTGATTCAGCGTTGTTTTAATTTTAATTCAGTTTTTTTAAAAATTATTTTCTTTAATTTTGTTTTGATTTTTATTCACATTTGTTTTGATACAGATTTAGTGTTATTTGAATTCTAATTCAGTTCTGTTTTAATTCTGATTCAGTTTCTTTATTTATTTTTTTCAGTTTTGATTTTCATTTAAATTCCATACTCAATTTTGTTTTGATTTTGATTCAGTTTTTTTTACTTATATTTTTCTGCATTGTTTTGATTCTGATTCAGATTTGTTTTGATTCTGATTCATCATTGTTCTGATTTTAATTCAAAGTTGTTTTGATTTTTATTGAGCTCTCTTTTTAATTCTGATTCAGTTGTTTTATGTATTTATTTTAGTTTCTTTTTAATCTTATTAAGTTTTCATTTAATTTAAATTTTTATGAAACTGAAGTTACCAACGTTTGTTCGACGAAAAATATAATACGTAATAATTTCTATTTCCCCGCCTCAGATCCAATTTTTTTTCCACTTTTATTATAAATACTAATGTTAGAAGCCATTAGAAATTATTTTCAAGTAGAACCAGGTCGGGGAGGGCAACGATTTTGACATTTTTTTTGTTACCGATTTTTCGAAAATTCAGAAATTTCGAAACAATTTCTATTTCCCCGCCTCAGATCCAATTTTTTTTCCACATTTATTAAAAATACTAATGTCAGGAATCATAAGAAATTATTTTTAACTGGAACCAGGTCGGGGAGGGTAATAATTTTGATTTTTTGTCGCGGATTTTTTGAAAAATCCGAAAAATCCGTGACAAAAAATCAAAATCGTTGCCTTCCCCGACCTGGTTCCACTTGAAAATAATTTCTAATGGCTTCTAATATTAGTATGTATAATAAATGTGCAAAAAAAATTGGATCTGAGGCGGGGAAATTGTTACGTATTATATTTTTCGTCGAACAAACGTTGGTAACTTCAGTTTCATAAATTTGTTTATTTTGATTTTTAGCATTGTTTTGATTTCAATTTAGTTTTATTTTAATTCTAATTCAGTTCCGTTTTAATTAGGATTATTCAGTTTTATATTTATTTTTTTAGTATTCCTTTTATTTTTTATTCCTTTTATTCTTTATTCCTTTTATTCTGATTCATTTTCTTTATTCTGTTTCAAATGTTTTTAATTCTAATTCATTTCTGTTTGGATTGTTTTATTCAGCACAGCAAATTTTCTTGTTACTAATTTTATTTTTGTTTATGAATTAGTTAAATTTTCTTTTATTCAGTTTTCTTTTGATTTCAATTCGGGTTTTGTCTGGTTATGGTTCAACTTTGTTTTGATTCTGTTTCAGTGTTGTTTACATTTAAATTCAGCCTTCTTTTTAATTCTGATTCGGTTTTATTTTGATTTCAATTCAGTTCTGTATTGATTCAGATTTAGTTTATTTTTAATATGCTCTAATTTAATTCTTCACGATAATAATAATTAAAGAGATTTGCTTCTAATTCAGTTTATTTATGGGACATTCCACGTCAACACAGACAGAGCTCTAAACAAAAATTGCTTTGATGGATTTAAACGTTCTAGGGCTTAAAAGATTTCTACGTTCATGTACTTTAAGATGCCGATGGGCGTTTTTTGAAAAATTCCATTTCCGATGCCAATAGAACTGTCAAAAGTCAAAAGGTCCAAAAATCTCAAAATACTTTTATGAATTAAAAGCAAAAAACGAGGTAAATTATTCTGTAACTCATTCTTTATCAGTTTTTAAGGTTCCCGAATATAAATCTAAAGTTTTTTTTTAAAAATCCAAAATGGCGAATTCAATATGGCGGACAAAATTCAAATTTGATCAGATTCGATTAAAACTTGTTACTCGGGGGTTTTTAGGGTCGCTGATTACGAATCTAAAGTCACTTTTTAAAAATTCAAAATGGCGGATCCAATATGGCAGAAAAAATTTTCAAATTTGATCCGATTCCCTTAAAACGTGTTACTCGGGGGCTTTTGGGGTCGCAGATTATGAATATGAAGTTACTTTGTGTTTGAGACTTCAAATTCATAATCAGATACGCTAAAAACCACCGAGTAACACTTTTTAATTAAATCTGATCAAATTAAAAAATTTGATCCGCCATTTTGAATTTCTATAAAGTAACTTCATATTCATAATCTGCGACCCCAAAAGCCCCCGAGTAACACGTTTTAAGGGAATCGGATCAAATTTGAAAATTTTTTCCGCCATATTGGATCCGCCATTTTGAATTTTTAAAAAGTGACTTCAGATTCGTAATCAGCGACCCTAAAAACCCCCGAGTAACAAGTTGTAATCGAATCTGATCAAATTTGAATTTTGGCCGCCATATTGAATTCGCCATTTTGGATTTAAAAAAAAACTTTAGATTTATATTCGGGAACCCTAAAAACTGATAAAGAATGAGTTACAGAATTATTTACCTCGTTTTTTGCTTTTAATTCATAAAAGTATTTTGAGATTTTTGGACCTTTTGACTTTTGACAGTTTTATTGGCATCGGAAATGGAATTTTTCAAAAAACGCCCATCGGCATCTTAAAGTACATGAACGTAGAAATCTTTTAAGCCCTAGAACGTTTAAATCCATCAAAGCAATTTTTGTTTAGAGCTCTGTCTGTGTTGACGTGGAATGTCCCTTATATATTTTCTTTAGTTTTTTTCTGTCTGATTCAGCTTTGTTTTGATTCTTTTTTAGCTTTGTTTTGATTATGACTCAGTATTTTTCCTTAT